CTCCGAAACACTTGAACAGATTTGGTGATTCAAACTTGTAAAAATCTCTGTTTTTCCAGTGCTGTTTGATTCATGCAGAGGGGCTGCAAATTATGGTGGCTGATGCAAAAACATGAATGGCCTTTTCTAGAGCCAGTGTTTGGTTTGTCCACTCTAGGCCACTGTAGAGACAACGTTGCATGCTCCATGGAAGAGGACCCGCTCCGTGTGTAGACATAAATGGCTCATTTTAGTGTAGCAAAAACACAGCGATACACTGGACGCTTCTTATTTTCAGGTGATTATACACTATCGAATAATTACTTGATAGGTTTTGCAGAATACCAGTGTTGGTAATAGATTTTTTTCCAAACCTTGGCTTTGTCTTTCCACTACCCCTGGAAGTATTCAGTATTTACAAGAATACTAAAAGTTTGGTTTCTCTGTTCCTGTGAAATATCCAGCTGTAACAGCAATGGTCTTAATACATCATCATATGATTGTTGTTGTTTTAAGTACCATTAACTACCTTTTTTAATTATTTTTTTTTACTGTCAATATTTTTACAAGACACAATAATGCTGGATAAAATATAATGTGTTTGCTGCTGATTACTCTTTCACATCACGAGATTATTTATTTATTGATGCTGCAACAAGCCAGACTTTGCTCTCTCTACTCATTTGTGTTTTATTTGGCTGTAGGAGTGAATACATGTGGGGGCACCCCAGGACACATCAGTCTGTATCTGGCCAACTTAGGCTAAATGACTTTCAACACTGTTCTTCTTGATGGTTAAGGGCCCGTCCCAATACCCCCCCTTAGCCCTACCCCTTGGCCCTACCCCTAGATTTGCACGTTCCTGCGAGGGGTAGGGGTGTCCCAATTCCTTCTTGCATGTAGGGGTAGGGGGCATAACGAGGAGTAGTAGGTATAAAACTAGCCCTTCAGAGCGAGGGATTTCAGATGCTGACTTGCCAGCGAGGGGTAGATGTCGCCATGGCTACCACCGAGCAAGAGACGAGGAAAAAAGTTCATACATGTACGTATAATTTTGCAAATAAACATGGAACCTTTGTAAAAACTATTTCGAATAACTGTGTATTTGTGCAGAGAACGGTATAACAGTTTTTTATTGCTATTCACAATGGTATTGCTATTCATGTCTGTCTAGAAAGCTAGTCAGCTAGCTAACGTTACCGCTGTCAGGTTGCTTGTTCGCTAGCTAGCTTGCTCGCACTACCTGGCGTCTGTCATCTGTCCTGTTCTGCAAAATTGTTGGATTTTTCACATTACGATAACACGCCAGCTAGCATAACTATGTTGCCTCGTAATGTTAGCTGGTTAGCTAGCTAGCTAGCAGAAGTCCCCTGTCGTACATATTATTTCGTCATCTGTCGTTCATCAGACAAAGCATGATAAATACAACAAACGCGATCAGTAGGATGAACTCAACTGGAGACTCCATTGTAGATGCCCGAGGCCTCTCAGGTCATAGAAATTCTGGAATTTACATTTAAATGCCAACTGTACAGTACATACATGTCTGTTCATGCAAATTTACAACAAATACCCAGATCAAAGCAGTCAATGTATTTTTGCCACATATTGTATAAAGTAATGGATGTAGCTACCATGACATCCCCCATTAGTTTATGTATTCCCATTTCAGCTGTCATCAGCTTGGGTTTATGGAGCCAGAAGTGACCATATTTGGACAAGTGGGTGGAGCTGTGAATGAGCGATGGGTGGATCTGACTTTTAGACTGAAGCAATGCCCCACAGACAGCCTGTCACCAAGCAGTAACCTCCGGGGCTGAAAAATGAAGCCAATGTGGAAGTGCTAAAAACTACAGTTCTTAAAATGGCCACTGAAGGCTGGCTTTGGAAGCGAGTCAATCCCCATAGCCCCCTGTGTTAAAATGCCCAACTTTACAGCAGAAATAAACATATTTACAGCCTGGTACAAAAAACGGTTTTGGTCTCTATAGCTAGCTTCAACATTCATGACAAATGTACAGAGGGTGAATTTTTATATTACTCACCCATTTACATTTTATTAGGGCTTAAAGTTATGCATATGTAAGGGCGGGATCTCTATGAGTGGCAGGCTGTCTGCAAGGTGTCACCACCGAGTCAGATCCACACCTCGCTCATGCACAGCTCCACCCCTGCATCTAAATTTTGTCACTTCTGTCTCCAGATACCAAGATGGAGATATTCAAAATGCTGAACTTGATGTTTTAAAACAAGAATCTACAAACGAATGGGTGACATCACTGTAGAAACATAGATGTCTCATGCTGGATCGTACACACTTTGGCGGTGTCATCGGGTGATATTTGAAAGAAGTGGCAAAACATCTCTGGCATCATTAAAACCAACACGGTCTCTCTGTAGATTCCAAATTGTTGCACAAGTTCTTGAAAACAGACTTCTGGAGGCTTTTAAAAGTTTTGGGGGGTGATTTCGGAAATGTCTCCCTAGCCCTCTGGTGCATAGCGGTCACTGCAGTGGACAGCTACTAAAAAGTCATTTTCTCTTAAATGCAATTGTTTCTATGGTGGAACTGCATATCAGCCTCTAGAGTGCTCTCTGCTGCCCTACTCCATTGCGGTCTATTCAGTGGTCAGTCGGTGTAACTGCAAGTAAATTTCCTCTGAATCCAAGATGGCCGCTAGACAGCCACCCCTGCCGACCACTGCTGACATATCCTGTCAAAACTTATATTCTAGAAGAACCCCAGAGGTAAAAACAAAATATGATTATATACAGTAACATCTAAGGAAGGATATTATCCATTTGGAATATGACATTTTTATTTCCAATATGTAGAAAATTACGATTAACCATGTGTCCAATGAAGTGGACATCATGCATCAACCAGTATATTTTCAACACAAGTCATGTAATTGCTTCACTGTTTCTTGTGACTGTTTTGGTTATGTCAGTGTATAATTGTTTATACGCTATTCATTTAAAATATATATTTTTGTGCAGGTTAGCTGTAGTTTGTGTTACTATAATAATTATTTTGTCATATTTTGTAGACTTCAAACGCAGCAAAGAATAAGGCAGCCTACAGAATAGTTCAGGAAATTCCATCCAGCTCCAGTGATGATGAGTATAGTGACAACAGTGATGATGAGTGGCTGCCAGAGAAGACCAGAGACATAGGAGCTGAGGATGATGGAGATACAGTCAGGATGCAGAAAGTGAGGATGCCCGTGAGGATGCAGAGGGAGGTCAGCATGATCAGGGAGCTGTGGAAGATAGGCACATGGCACCTGACCATACTCAAGCCCGCAAACTGGAAAGTCCAAGACAACGACTTTGATGGAGACTTGCCTCCTTTTCTAGGAGAGTGGAAATTGAATGTGGAGGGAAGATATCCCATAGATTTCTTCACACATCTGTTTCCAGCAGATCTCATTGATGATATAGTGCAAAACACCAACTTGTATGCTCTCCAGAAAGGGAAAGAAAATCTGGCAGTGACAGGAGAAGAAATGCAGACTTTTTTAGGCATCAACATGATCATGGGGTACATTCAGTATCCTAGGGCACAAATGTACTGGTCTAGTGAGGATGGCCTTCGTCTTGGAATAATTGCAAATGCCATGTCTGTAAACAGATAAGGGCAAATCCTGAGATACCTGCACTTTGTGGATAACTTGACTTAACAGCCAGCAAACACAGATAGGCTCTTCAAAATAAGACCATTGCTAAGTGCACTTCAGGAAACATTCAAGGCAGCAGCAGACCATGAGGAATTTCAGTCAGTTGATGAGCAGATCATTCCTTCCAAAGGCTTAATGTCCATCAAACAATACATACCAAAAAGCCCAAACCCTGGGGAGTGAAAGTGTGGGTGAGGGTAGGAACCTCAGGCTATATGAATAGATTTGAAGTGTACCAAGGCTCTGCAAGTAGTGGTTGCATCAGTGCATTGGGAATGGCTGGAGATGTGGTGATGCATCTTTGTGATGACATAAAACACAAAAATCACAAGGTGTTTTTTGATAACTTCTTCAGCAGCATTCCACTCATCGAGGCCTTGAAAGACCAAGGCATCTATGGCACAGGTACATGCAGAGCAAACAGGCTGAAGGGAGCAAATCAGAAACTCAAGAGTGAAAAACAACTGAAAGAAATGGGCAGAGGAGCTGGCTCTGTTGTCAGCAATAATGCAAACATCACTGTCACATGTTGGCTCGACAGTTCAGTCATCCACATGGTCTCGTCCTGTGCTGGCCAGTCCCCTGAAGATGTTGCCAACAGATGGGTCAGGAAGGAAAAAAAGATGGTCAGGGTCCAAAAACTCTTCTGTGTGGCCCTTTACAATCAACACATGAGTGGGGTTGATCTTGTTGACCAATGTCTGGCAATGTACCCCCACAGACGTCGAAACAAGAGGTGGTACATCCGAGTGTTTTTTCATTTTTTGGATGTGACCATTGTAAATGCATGGCGCCTCTACCTGGATGGGAAAAGATGAAACTCCTCCTCTTCAAAGCTTCTGTGGCACTGATAAATAGTGGCAATAGTTTTCTTATTCAGGCCTAAACATTGCGCCTATACAGAGTTGAAACTTCCAAAAAGTTGCTGAAATGTTTTTCAAAGCATAAAAAGTGTTTGTATATTTAATATAAAACACAAGTTAATTCATTTTTACAGTAAGTTCACAATGTTTTATGTTGAGTGCTCAGGCGCATGTAGTCCACTGGATTGGACATGTCTGGAACTCTATGAAAAAAACATATTTTTGGAAAAAAAAGTTGAACTTTTTTTTTCATGTCCTGAGAAGAATAAAAACACTTCAGAAAAAAATCTTGACCAAGGCTTTCATAATTCATGCATCAGAGGGCTAGACTCTGGCCCAATTGTTTTTTTTGAACAGGTGCTTCATGTTGGTATCTACAGTAGTTTCAAAAAGCTGATGTTCACCTTTGCTTTGTCAAAAGTCTGCTGTTTATGACACCATATGTGGTGTCACATGACGAGGAAAGAAATACTCACTGTTAGAGAATCCAAAAAGTTTTACAGTAACTAAGTACTCCAGTAACCAAATACAGTTCAGAGTGTACGGTTAGTTCACTTATTCAAATTTACAATACATAACTGTATTTTATTTTTACACTAACTAACACTGTTATCATTTCATAGGTCTGTCTGTTTTCTCTGTTTGGGTTCTCTATTAATTCAGTCTAGTATGATGGACGCCAGGACGTATGTCAACCACATCAACCTCTTGTAAACATTAGACAAGTGTCAAACGTAGTAATGCATTGCTTTATTGGTAATCTGCATAATATGCTCCCTATGGTTCATGTTTTTGTATAACCAGATAAGCGTTGATGCTTCTTCATCTCCTCAGTTTGCCTTCAAGAAACAGCTTCTCCTCATCCTCCAAAAACAGAACTTCAACAGTCTGATCACGCCACTGTTGGGTGCTCTTCTTCTGTAGAAGGGAAACAATACATTAAATGCTTTGATCATATCTGGGTGGGTAGTTGCTGTATGGTTAGGTTACAGAGGAGGGTATACCCTGTATACCTGCATATACCCTCCCCTGCACCACTGGGTCATGTTAAGTTTAATGTCAATCAGCAGCACCTTGGAGCTCAGCCAGTCAACACTTTGATATGCGAGTTTTCAAACATGTGTGAAACATGTGTTTTGTATTCCACTCCTCACCTTCAGGGTGACATCTCTGCATACACTCTGTCTCATCTTTAAAGTTGTTCTGGTTGCCCAAACACCCTCCATAGACGAATTTCTCACAGCTCTTTGAGGTGGAGTTGTAGAAGTAATGCTCAATGTGTGCCTTACATGGGCCTGTTTCAGGTGGTGCGTTACAGACCTCTACAGGAAGAGAGAGATTAATAATGATATGTTACTATTATTATTCTCTATTCTCTATTATTGATTCTATTACTGACTTATTATTATTAATAAATTACCGAATAATTTATTTCTTTGTTTACTTGATCATTATTATCAGAAATACGTGTTTTCCCCATCAGCTAATATCAATGTATTTATTTATTGGCTTTTCTTCATTTCCTGATACCACTGTTCACATCTATCATTGCTATTAACCTTATCATTTATTCTTTAACTTCTTTATTTCTTTTCTTACTATTCTTTTCTTACTATTATATCCTTATTCCTTTTACGTATCATGACCACAGTAATTTAATAATTTCTTTACTTTCCCCCTTTCCATCTTTTCTCTATTTTCTATTATTACAGTGCCACTGCCCCCGTCTTCACTACTTTTATCAACTCACACATTTAGTTATTTGTCTATTCATCACTATTATTATTGTTATCATGATTATGTCCTGAACCCCTTCAGCTACTATCATCATGTCTAGTCTACTACAACTACTTTAGTTGAATTTTATTTTATTTTATTCTATTCTA